CTTACCAGGGTTTTGGGTTGGCTAATAAGTCTACGAAGGTCAATGTAGATGGGGGTCATTTGTCCAGATTTGAGGTAATATTCGCCCATTCGAAAAACCTGCAATTTCCAGAAAAGGCATATTCCGGTACATTTGTCCAGACTTTGAGGTAATATTCGCCCATTCAAAAAAACCTGCAATTTCCAAAAAAAAAAGCCTATTCCGGTGAAACATAATCAAAAAGAGCGGGGATAATGTACAGGATCGGGAGGTTAAATTGACGGTTGATACGACCTCCACCACCTAGCGATCCAGAAAATTTTCGTGTTTCTTAAGAAAACCGGTGCTGCTGGTCGAAAGAGTAGCAGGAGTGGCGGCCCACCATTCAACTACGGAAAACTGTGGTTGTATAGTAGGTCCGTGGAGCTACCAACTAGAGAAAGGTGGCACTCAAAATCGCAAAAACGTCAACAACCGGAAAAAAAATTGTTTCATAGCTAGGAAAAAAATACTCTTAAGGCCAGATACGCCCCCGCTAGGACCCCGCTGACCAATATGAATCCGTCCGCAGCGACCAAATACGACCGCGATGGGAAATTCCAACAATTCCGTACGTTGGTCGGGAGGGCCAGGGGTATGGCGAGGCAACTAAGCCACGTCCCTTTATGCTTGCCCGCGTCCTCTCAACAAGGATGTGGTACCCTAACTCGGTAAACGTACTAGAGAGCACAGATGAACAGAGTGGGCGCAGCGCATCCCTCGTATGTACCCCTCCCCCCATGGCCCAACTCCCTTAGCCCCAAAACCTTTTGCTAGCTGCACATGAAAGCTGGAGGGCTTTCTTATTAATAAAAAGGAGTGAGCGGAAGATTTAATAATAATGAACGAAAAAACCGATTCCTTCTCAGAAAGGCGTAAATACACCACCTTACTAAAAAACAGATCTGGAGAACTCCTCCTAAGAATGAATTGGTTGTACTTTACATCAATAAAACCAAGTAAAATACCTCTAATGCGTATAAGGCTTCAAAAAGTCGTTCCTCCACCACGGCGTCTCCTCCGTTGACTCCGTTGGTTGACATTTTCACAGCTGCAGACTGAAAACCTAGATCCATAGTTTCCAATGTTTGATTTCTATGAAGATAACCGAGGGCAGTAAAACGGATTGAACCAAAAAAGTAGTGACTCATCAATGACTAAAAGATTTACATGCTATTAACAGCTACAACAATAACCTGAGAAATTCAACATGTAACTAAGAAAACCATCCTACTTTGATCTATAACAACTCTTTACACTATATGCAAATAATTACCTAATAAGCCTACTGTTTACAAGTTGTAATTTTTCATGCAAAGAACAATTGATTGGTTCACAAGTGTAAAAATGAGATTGGTCGACAAACCAGAATTGCCACTGCAATGCTATCTATAGGTATGCAGAATGCGCTCCTTTGAATGACATACGAGTGGGACGTAAATGGTACAATACAGATAATGACAAATGTCTCTGGAATGCCAAGAATATCGATTACGGTCGCTGAGGAGCGATAGCCCAACTCTTCGGAATGCTCTTCCATTCTTTTTCTGTCCGCTTGTAGATCATCTGACGGGTGAAGTGACCCATTTTCTGGCCTTCCACCGAAGTTACTTGACTAGCCTGAAAAGAATGCGTTTAATGTCGACAGCGAGGATAACTCTGGAATTTCGAAAAAGGTGTTCACTGCTAAAAAAGACGAGTCGCATTCTTCATATCAACAGTTATGTTGGCCGAGCAGGCGAGTTTCAGCCTCAAAGAGGTGACCTTGTGGGGTAAAAAGTGCCGTGCTGTTACTGAAGAATAGCGCATGTCCATCGCAGAGATTGCTCGGAGATCACACTTCTTTTCAACAAAAATTTCAAAATTTAGCGCAAATGTTGTTCGCGGGCCTCACGGCGGCCTGAGCCTTGATTAGAAGGGTAACACAAGGTTTGTTGATCAAACGGCCCGCCGCCAACAAGCTAGAATACCTATGTGTTGGCGGAGTGAGACCTTATTGCCTAGTCGAGGCAAAGGTGGTTCAATAACAGAATAGGCGTTGCAAGCGAGGTGACGTTCACAGCATCCGAACCAGAGCCAACTCACTCAACGCTATCCCGAGTCAACTCCTTTGCGAAAACGTTCCTGGAAATTATTGCCCCACACCTATATGTCATTGTAACTGGGAAGCGGAACCTCAATTGAGCGCATTTACCGATATCCTTTGCACGCAGTCCTCTCCTAGCATCCCAATACTGCGTTCATACTTCACAAATCAAGCGACTGCGGCCGATGGCGCTTCACCGCCAATAGTTGAACCATTGCGACTTTTTTCTTCGCCGTTTTTGTGATACTATCTTGCTACTCCACTAGACCTCATATCAGTACGTTTACCCAGAACATAATCTTTGATAAATGACTGGATCGGAATATGATCGATTTAGACGTCGCAGCGGCCCAACGATCTGCGTTAGAGCGCTGTCAGTCGCAGCCCACAAGGTCACATGGTCCACATCACTCCGAAGTGTGCAGCGCGAAGAACTAGACTTGATTCTGCTCAAAGCTTGCCTTCACAACAATTTTGGTATCCTATGGCTGGGTCAGCTATTCACTGCGTATGAGCCCCTAAGATGGGAGCCAATCGATAACAGTCTTTCTGAATAGAATGGCCAAAGAAAAAACTCGCGCTTATGCCACAAAGCCAGGGTTAATCGCTGTAACGAACCTGACCGTTTTGCGGGAGGCTTCAAGATTTCTTCCAGATTACATTTTTCAGGTTTTGGTGTAGTGACAGGAACAACCGCAACATGGACCTTGGAAAGGAGAAATCACATTCAATATGCTTTTTGTCATCCTGTGTTTTTATGGATAAAAACAAATTAGTGTTACAAAATATCTTACCATGTCAAGATCATGAGTGAAAATCGACTTCGTGGTATCCCTGGCTTTTGTGGACATATGTGTGCGGAATAGGAAAAAGCTGAAAAGTTGGTAGTCCAAAAAAGAAGGTTGAGGAAGCAAGTGCAGAGAAAAGACCAAGATCCTAAACAAATAAGTTCCAGAAAACCAACTTGGATGAATAGACGGGTTCATGAGTCTGCTTTGCAATCCGTTTGTATGGCAAATCCGAGAGCCCAATTGAGATTCAACACCCTCAATAACAGCCCCGTGATCCAGCAACGTCTTGCCTGCTCGCACTAATGTTTTCACAAGATCAGCCTGAAAATTCAATAAATACTCATTGCACGAAAGTGCAGTCATAAAGGCGACAACTGCACAGATAACGTGCAGTAGGAAGAGGTCAATGCACGATATCCATCTGATTTTTTTATGATCTGCATTGGCGGCTGCAGGACCGACGCCTATTTCGCGTGGACCACGCTTTCTTCCACTTACACGACACCTCTACTCCAACCCTACCGGCCACAACCATTGCGTTGGGGGATTTTACCAAGTCCGGACACACCCCCCCCCGCCCCCTCGCTTTTTAGAGCGGTTGCGTAGACCGCCCTCCTCCGTTCCTCCTCATCGAGCTGGAGCGGACCACGGTGAGAGGGAGCGCACAGTCACGTAGCATCTGAAACTGAGAAATATAGCGGAATTCTCTCTCTCTAACAACAGGAAGATTGAAATAACCTTCAAAGTGCTCAACGTTCTCCCATCTATTACGTGAAGCCGATCCTCCTTGTCTCCATAAACCAGGTATCTCCCACATGGTGACCATGTCACGTATAAATTTGCGGCTGGAAACGATATGATAGCACGATAGTCTCACGACCTTCTATTTGGGAGGGCTAATAGCCTCAAAAAGGGAAGAACGAAAGAAAACATTGAGCTGGTGAGGTTGTCACTAAGAACTAGAAACGTTTGTAAAACGTGCTCACAAGCCAAAGATACTAATACAGTGCGACTAACCTCGCGTAGACAGACGGGTATGAGTTTTCTGCTGGCGAATATCCCATATAATAATGGATTTATCTGTGCTAGCAGATGCCAGAAGGTTGGGATTTGTTCGATGAAATGCTACCTGAAAAGGCTCCCAGAACGACATCGAACAAAAAAATGGGTGAGAGCTTCGACTAGGAAAGAAAGCTGAGTGAGCTGTCCAAGTAAGCACCCGAGGGCAGCTCGCTATATAAGAGAATCGACAGCTGTGCTATTCATCAGACGCATGGAATCAAACGAAATTCGCAACATATATCTGCACAAGCTTCTGGGAGAGGTATATTCGACTAAAGCCAAACATCAAAATGTGACCTTATTACGGCACTACGGCTGTTGAAGGTGATGGGGGGGGGTGGGGCAACCGCGATTGACCCAAAGAAACAATCCGCTCCCTTGTCCGGGCTCAGCTTTAGAAGACCGCCTCACCACTGGGCACTGAGGAGCGAATTTAATTTTATCATCACATGGTCCGCCTCAGCTTCCGCAGCTCGCACATCAGCATCCCCAATTTGTGGCAAGGCCGGCGAAAAAGGCGTTGCAAATGGTATTACACGCACAGCAATCGCACTAACAGGACCCAGATGATTCAGTAATTCAGGGCTGTGATGTGTCAAAACGACCAACTAAGAAATACTCCGCTAGTCAGCCGCTCGCTTTTCAGCTGTCTTCCATGCTTTTGTGCAGTTACTTTCTTACTTCTTGCCTTTCACCTCCTAATATTCACTATTCATATCAGACTTCACATGAATCGATAAGAGCATCAGCATTAGTCGGACATCGGTGGGTAGGCGTTTGGCCCCGGTTGGTATATTGCAGCTTGATAGAGCGCTATAAGGGTACCTAATAGGAAAAAGGCCACGCATCTCGTGCCGTATTCTGTCCGACAATCAATGTCGAATAATCCTGCACTTTTTGGGGATTTACTGTGCCACCTGCCTTTGAGACTGCCATGGTACAACGGTAGCTTTTGCTTCTTTTTCGCCGCGTTGTCGTTGTGGAGACAGTAAGCGACGCAAGCGCTCGCCGGTGAGCTTTTCCGCGGAAACTAGAAAACAGTATTCCGGTAACGGCACCAACCTGATCAACTGAGTCATCATGACCCTGTCCAACAAATGTGCACTTAACACGACATGAGGAATCCACGGTTCCCACTGAAACTCGTCGATCCTGTGATCCACACGCTAAACGGGATCCATCACAATTCCACGACAACGCATGCGCTCGTTGTACCTGGAAGGGTTCATAGCAAAAGAAGAAACATTAAAAGTGACAGAATTCTATAGAAGTAGGAAAATTGGGATTACCTGCATGTCGTAGCCGCGAACGCGATGATTGGCATCAAAGTATGCGACAGCATCAGCGCTTGAACGAATCGTACGAGATGCTTTACTACGGACGTCTTTCTTGACTGTCATTGATCTGCTAAAAATTTATCCAAAAGCTATTCAACCCTCTTGAAGAAACCCAATTGTAGTCTTGGTCACTGCAGATGATGGAGAAGGTTGGCGAGGTTGGATTAAGTTGGCCACCAGCCCTGTTCTCCACTACTTTCTGAGGCGGGTAAGTGACAAAAGTTGATGGAAAACGGCGGATAAGAACGATATGGTCTTCGTGCTTACCGACAAAAAAGAAAAAAAAACGGGCTGGCGCCGCGCCTAGCTCATCCTCCCTTACACGCGCCATCATGCGCGGCGGACGAGACTGTTAAACATCGTCTGACCTATAAAATCAGGGGAAATATGGTACTACTGACTTACTACTTATATGCCATGAAAAATACTGTCCAACAACATTTATTCATGAACAACATTGAAAATCAACAAAATAAATACCATCAAAATCAACTGGAATTCCTTAATATGCGACAAACTTTGGAGCCACCACAGACAGTAATGAGCAGAACCCGAAAAATCATCGCTTACTAAAGCGAATTCCTAACGTTGGCAGCAAGACTGTAGCAACGTAATTGTGACTAATTCCTACTGAACCGAACTACACGTTACTATCAAGACCCACAGTGATTAAAGTATAGAATGGTAGGGAAAATGAAAGATAAAAGGATGAATGTAATCATGTGAACACATATACCAGGCGGAACAGCTCCGAGACGTTCACACGTCAGAAGGAACTCTTTTGAACGGTTTCTTCAAATGTTCAATAATCTCATGCTTCCTCTCGACAGTGATTTCGTTCTTCGCAATCATTCCATCTAGGATTACTTCCATTGTCAAAGCACTGAAACGTTAGGAACTAAGTTTTTGGTAGCGCCCAAAGAGAGAAGAAGAGAGAAAAACACGAACCTATGAAAATCTATTTCAGCACGAGCAAGTCCTTCAGTGGCTCCCTGCTGCCTGTCCAAAACAGCGACCGCGTCCGTAACCTGAACATATGCATAGAGCTTCTAACCTATGTATAACTGAAAGCAACTTTTGCAAAGATAGGAACTGAAAGCTGAGTCAATGGGCTCACTATAACTGAAATATTCTATACCAGACCTAATGTTCCGGGAAAGGGCGTCATCGTTGTGGGGAACCTGACAAGGGTAGCACACGATCGCTGGTGGAGGGATCGAGGTATTTGACCAGGAGAAAAATTTTTTCGGATTGTTGATTTTTCTCGTTTCATGCGCCCCATATCACCTCTCCCCTTTAGATGACGGTACGGGAACTTCTATCCCTGATAATTGGTCAGTGCTGCCTAGTTCAGCCTCGCATAACGACAAACGTCGAGAAAATTTGGAAACGATGTAAAGCTAGTGTCCTTATCCTCTCAGACAAATCCGGTACCAATTTACCGTCTCCACGGGAATGCTTGGTTGGCCTGAGTGGGACCACAGCTTCTGTACCAACCTTCAACCCTTCAGCCCGAAGAGCTTCGGCTGTTTCTCGAATTGATTCGCCTGAAGTGACAACGTCCTCGATAAGAAGAGCCGTGTGTCCCGGGGTATAAATACCCTAGAAATGAAGGATTAAAGAGTAATTCCCACTATTCTCCGTTCCTAACAACCTCACTGCAAACATTACCTCGATAGCCTTTCTCGTTCCGTAAGACTTGGTCTCCTTGCCTTTCATCAGCATTGGCACATTGAGAATATCACTAACATGCTAAAATAACCCTGTAGACTTAGCCAAGAACTTCAACTTTTAGCTGTCCAACTAGTCAAGCGATAAAATACGAAAATACAAAGTTCCACAGTATTCCAAGAGCACAATGTTAACGCTCACGCACAGTAGCCAACGGAAGTGCAGCATATGGAACTCCTACAACATAATCGTACTTGAGGTCCTTTGCATTGATAATATCACAGAGAACTTGTGCTGCCATGCGCTACAAGTATTGCATGTAGAGAGTATACCATGAATACCCGTGTAGTAGCACTTACCAGGGTTTTGGGTTGGCTAATAAGTCTACGAAGGTCAATGTAGATGGGGGTCATTTGTCCAGATTTGAGGTAATATTCGCCCATTCGAAAAACCTGCAATTTCCAGAAAAGGCATATTCCGGTACATTTGTCCAGATTTGAGGTAATATTCGCCCATTCAAAAAAACCTGCAATTTCCAAAAAAAGCCTATTCCGGTGAAAACATATCAAAAGAGCCGGGGATAATGTACAGCATCGGGAGGTTAAATTGACGGTTGATACGACCTCCACCACCTAGCGATCCAGAAAATTTTCGTGTTTCTTAAGAAAACCGGTGCGCTGGTGTCGAAAGAGTAGAGGAGGGGCGCCCACCATTCAACTACGGAAAACTGTGGTTGTATAGTAGGTCCGTGGAGCTACCAACTAGAGAAAGGTGGCACTCAAAATCGCAAAAACGTCAACAACCGGAAAAAAATTGTTTCATAGCTAGGAAAAAAATACTCTTAAGGCCAGATACGTCCCCCGCTAGGACCCCGCTGACCAATATGAATCCGTCCGCAGCGACCAAATACGACCGCGATGGGAAATTCCAACAATTCCGTACGTTGGTCGGGAGGGCCAGGGGTATGGCGAGGCAACTAAGCCACGTCCCTTTATGCTTGTCCGCGTCCTCTCAACAAGGATGTGGTACCCTAACCTCGGTAAACGTACTAGAGAGCGCAGATGAACAGAGTGGGCGCAGCGCATCCCTCATATGTACCCCTCCCCCCATGGCCCAACTCCCTTAGCCCCAAAACCTTTTGTTAGCTGCACATGAAAGCTGGAGGGCTTTCTTATTAATAAAAAGGAGTGAGCGGAAGAGTTTAATAATAATGAACGAAAAAACCGATTCCTTCTCAAAAAGGTGTAAATACACCACCTTACTAAAAAACAGCTCAGGAGAACTCCTCCTAAGAATGAATTGGTTGTACTTTACATCAATAAAACCAAGTAAAATACCTCTAATGCGTATAAGGCTTCAAAAAGTCGGTTCCTCCACCACGGCGTCTCCTCCGTTGACTCCGTTGGTTGACATTTTCACAGCTGCAGACTGAAAACCTAGATCCATAGTTTCCAATGTTTGATTTCTATGAAGATAACCGAGGGCAGTAAAACGGATTGAACCAAAAAAGTAGTGACTCATCAATGACTAAAAGATTTACATGCTATTAACAGCTACAACAATAACCTGAGAAATTCAACATGTAACTAAGAAAACCATCCTACTTTGATCTATAACAACTCTTTACACTATATGCAAATAATTACCTAATAAGCCTACTGTTTACAAGTTGTAATTTTTCATGCAAAGAACAATTGATTGGTTCACAAGTGTAAAAATGAGATTGGTCGACAAACCAGAATTGCCACTGCAATGCTATAGATATGCAGAATGCGCTCCTTTGAATGACATACGAGTGGGACGTAAATGGTACAATACAGATAATGACAAATGTCTCTGGAATGCCAAGAATATCGATTACGGTCGCTGAGGAGCGATAGCCCAACTCTTCGGAATGCTCTTCCATTCTTTTTCTGTCCGCTTGTAGATCATCTGACGGGTGAAGTGACCCATTTTCTGGCCTTCACGAAGTTCTTTGACTGCCTGAAAAGAATGTGTTTAATGTCGACAGCGAGGATAACTCTGGAATTTCGAAAAAGGTGTTCACTGCTAAAAAAGACGAGTCGCATTCTTCATATCAACAGTTATGTTGGCGAGCAGGCGAGTTTCAGCCTCAAAGAGGTGACCTTGTGGGGTAAAAAGTGCCGTGCTGTTACTGAAGAATAGCGCATGTCCATCGCAGAGATTGCTCGGAGATCACACTTCTTTTCAACAAAAATTTCAAAATTTAGCGCAAATGTTGTTCGCGGGCCTCACGGCGGCCTGAGCCTTGATTAGAAGGGTAACACAAGGGTTTTGTTGGCTCAAACGGCCCGCCCCAACAAGCTAGCAATACCTATGTGTTGGCGGAGGAAGACCTTATTGCCTAGTCGAGGCAAAGGTGGTTCAATAACAGAATAGGCGTTGCAAGCGAGGTGACGTTCACAGCATCCGAACCAGAGGCCAACTCACTCAACGCTATCCCCGAGTCAACTCCTTTGCGAAAACGTTCCTGGAAATTATTGCCCCACACCTATATGTCATTGTAACTGGGAAGCGGGAACCTCAATTGAGCGCACTTACCGATATCCTTTGCACGCAGTCCTCTCCTAGCATCCCAATACTGCGTTCATACTTCACAAATCAAGCGACTACGGCCGATGGCGCTTCACCGCCAATAGTTGAACCATTGCGACTTTTTTCTTCGCCGTTTTTGTGATACTATCTTGCTCTCCACAGACCTCATGATTCAGTACGTTTACCCAAAATATATCTTGGATAAAGACGTGGATCGGAATATGATCGATTTAGACGTCGCAGCGGCCCAACGATCTGCGTTAGAGCGCTGTCAGTCGCAGCCCACAAGGTCACATGGTCCACATCACTCCGAAGTGTGCAGCGCGAAGAACTAGACTTGATTCTGCTCAAAGCTTGCCTTCACAACAACTTGGTATCCCTATGGGTGTCAGCTATCACTGCTTATGAGCGCTAAATGAGAATGATAACAGTCTTCTGAGTAGAATGGAAAGAAAAACTCGCGTTATATCCACAAAGCAGTTAATGTGTAACGAACCTGACGTTTTGCGGGAGGCTTCAAGATTTCTTCCAGATTACATTTTTCAGGTTTTGGTGTAGTGACAGGAACAACCGCAACATGGACCTTGGAAAGGAGAAATCGCATCCAATATACTTTTTGTCATCCTGTGTTTTTATGGATAAAAACAAATTAGTGTTACAAAATATCTTACCATGTCAAGATCATGAGTGAAAATCGACTTCGTGGTATCCCTGGCTTTTGTGGACATATGTGTGCGGAATAGGAAAAAGCTGAAAAGTTGGTAGTCCAAAAAGGAAGGTTGAGGAAGCAAGTGCAAAGAAAAGACCAAGATCCTAAACAAATAAGTTCCAGAAAACCAACTTGGATGAATAGACGGGTTCATGAGTCTGCTTTGCAATTCGTTTGTATGGCAAATCCCGATAGCCAAGAGATTCAACACCCTCAATAACAGCCCCGTGATCCAGCAACGTCTTGCCTGCTCGCACTAATGTTTTCACAAGATCAGCCTGAAAATTCAATAGATACTCATTGCACGAAAGTGCAGTCATAAAGGCGACAACTGCACAGATAACGTGCAGTAGGAAAGGTCAATGCACGATATCCATCTGATTTTTTATGATCTGCATTGGCGGCTTGCAGACCGACGCCTATTTCGCGTGGGACCACGGCCTTCTTCCGGTTACACGACGTCTATCAACTAGGGCACAACATTGGTTGGGGGATTTTAGCCAAGTCCGCACACCCCCGCCCCCTCCGCTTTTTTAGAGGGTTGGTATGACCCCTCTCCCTCGTTCCCTCCTCATCGAGCTGTAGAGCGGAGGTGGGGGAGGGGTACGTAGCATCTTGAACCGGGAAAAGCCGCGAGGACAATACGACCCCCTCTCTATTATTTCTTAGACGTTCCCCAATTTCTTACCACTTTTTCCGGAGATGCCCGAAAGTTTTCCTGCTTCTCCCCAAAAATTTTGCTATCGAGCGAGGAGGTGGTACATAGTACACATGAAACGGCAAAAAACACGAAAAGTCAGCAACCTTCTTCAGAAGTTCAGAACAGAGATATGATCCCCTTCCAACTAAAAAAACGAACAAATAGCCCCCCCCTCTACAGCGTCCGTGAACAAGAAAAATCAACTATCAAAATAAATTTTTCTCAGCCCAAATACGACCCCCTCTCCCAGCGACCAAATACGACCCCCCGTTGGGAAATCTCCAACAACGATGTGCCCTACTGTCAACCAGATGCTCTCTCACTGCAAGGGTTTCCACAGCGTCTTTTAATCGGACATTTAGAGGAAGGGAAATAAGGAAGAGGGATGTGAGAAATAAGGAAGAAAAATAAGGGAGGAGGGAACGGATGGGAAAAATTAGGAGGGAGCAAGGAGCCTCGCGTTCACAGATATTTGGACCCCGGTCTTCTACGCGAAGGATGACGTCGACATGGCGCATGGTGTGTCATCGTGGGGCCACGAAAGGAAAAATGTGGCTGACATAGCGAGAAAAGTCTTAGAGCTATCAGGGATTGAACACGTAGAAAGAAGATCAAAATACAATGTCAGTTGTGGCCAAAGAATTTTCACGCTTGTTCGCACAGCGGCCCCTGCGATCTTGCATCTTATTGGCCTATCAATAGGGTAACATTTAAGCGAGCTCATCCTTTTATCTGTTAATCTCACATGCCTCTGAATGGTAAGATGCGAGATCCTCTGCAGGACATTCGCTTATTTTTCGATTGCTTACGGTGTATGAAGCGACTCATGAATAAAAAATAAGTAATAAAAGCACCATGCCTGATCAACAGAGTATTCTTCAGCTTGACAGGATCGTGTAATATAGTGAAGACATTCGTACGGGGCTATTCCCTTGAAAAACCACGAATTGTTACGGTACGTTAGTATATACTCACGACTGAGATCTGGAAGATTCCACTCACGAACGGGCAAAGAAATATTTCTTCATGGTTTGAGAATAAACTGCAAGCAAAGTGGGGGCAACGGCCGCGTGAGTGTCTGTTCGGCTAGACTAGGCGCCGGCCAATTCCACTCGTCTGCGAACTGTTAACCTCAGCATATGCTGTAAGCCCGACATGATGAAGATCGCGTCGGGCTTGCTGGCCAGTTCATTGGGACTGAGAATGAGAATTTGACGCGACTCCACGCCCTATTGGCATTTTGGAATAGATGCGCATCGCCCCTTTCGACTCTGTGGGTAACTCCTGATATGGCAAGGTATACAGCGTGGCTTGTCACAGCGCGGAAATGATGAAAGGAGCTCGTAACTTTAAAGCCAGGCAAATTTCTTGGTACTTTTGTATACAGCGAGTGATTTAGTGGTATCCATAAGCAGAGTTGCAACTGCATTGAACCTTCTTTTCATCACTTACTTTCTTTCTTGCTCATTCCTCTGCTATGAACGAAATTCATACGACTTGCTGTAGCGCCGTCCTATAGGATGCTTGTTAAATAATGAATATAATTAAAAGTTGTTCGACGTAAGATACTTGGTATAAAATTAAGAATAGAGCGTCTCGCAGAGACACAGCTATCACATCCTTTCTGGCCATAAGTGTGCGTAGCTTAGTGCTTAAGCTCGCTTACTAATTTAAGAAACAGAGGGCCTGACGAGTGGTCCCAACTATATTCGTTAGCAGGCCGCTGACAAACCTGTGCGCATATTTAATGGGGGCTCCACTGCCTGAACTTAATAAAAAATGCTGGGATTTGATCAGTCTCTCCTCCGAGGTTCGCCTCGTTTCCGACTTTCATCGAAATTGTAGCGATTTCTGATTCTGATTTTGCCTAAATGGCAATAATAAGAATTATCCAGAGACGTAAATAATCAAGTATTCATTATCCAAGACTGAATCTTTGTACTGAACATAAAATGCTGCCAGAGGATGGATCAATATGGATGGTGTGATTATTCTCATGCGCTCATATACATTTCCTACCATATGTCTTGCCCAGACCCCAATCCACGCGGCTCTTGATAAAGGACATGCACCTGGATCTGGCTCGAGTGAGTTGACAGAATTCGAAATTTTAATTTCGGTACTGTTACGGATTTGTCGACGCACAGTAATCTCGCTCACGAGGTATTCTTTCATCCCATCTACTGGTCCAGCAGTTGAAGGGAGAAGGAAAAGGAGGAGGGAAGAGAGAAGGAGAGAAGGAAAAGAAGGAAGGAGGAAGAAAAAAGGAAGGAGGAGGGAGGCTCCGCCGTGAGACGGGGTTCGACCGCTTCTCCTGCGTGAATTACGACTGCACCACACAATATGTACGGACAATCCCCGATGTATTAACACCTAGTAGAACAAAAATACAAAAAAAACCCCATTTATTACTTAACCACTGCATATGAACAAGATTTAGCTTTCAATCAAATAACTAAATGCATGGAGCCTACGAGAGCCAAAAGTCTTTTAGAGTATAGGTGAGATGTTGCCGACGACACTTCTGTATTGTTTTCGGGCTGCAAACTACTGAAACTATCAGGAAGACAAGATCCTAAATTTAAAAAGTCAGGCCTCCACACATTAGGCGTCAGTTGACAGCACATCGTTGTAGGTTGCACACACTGCACCAAATCTTACGCTATACTCAGCACTGAGCGACCTTCGCCCTGTTTCCCCCTTGTCATATCAGTGAGTGCTTGCTTGAGTGCTCCTCCGAAAAAGGCACCAACGTAGGCCAAGAGAGGGGAGGGGGCGTGGTAGCGCCTCCGTGCCCCTTCCGCTCGTCCAAGCTCATGCTCGGGCCACGACAGGCATAGGTCATGCTAGGAAACGTGACATAGCCGCGCGCCGCTCTTCCCCATGGAGCCGCATGGTAGCATCTCCGAAAAAGTATGTAATGGAGACATAATATCTAGGAGGAGAAACTAGGGCGCAAGTGTTCTGACGCCTCCCTCGTTGCCCCGCCCACCAAAACTCTAGGGATACTTTCTGCAAGAGTTCGAGATTTAAACACCGTTTTTCCTTTTTGAACGGTATTTGCAGAATGACGCGAAGAAACGGTTAGTGAGCGAGAGGCAGCGGGACATCGCTGTGCTGCATAAACCATGCAGGTCCTGACAACTCATCCAGGGGGCTGCCAGTTATTTAGGGTGTTCTCCATGAATTTTGTTCTTTTAATCTCCCTGGAAAAGTCATTTAGCGACCATGCGTTCGTTATTGAACGCCAATACCCACTATATGCAATGAGGGGTTTTGTATCTAACAAGGAGGTCAGTGTACCTCCCCCCCCCAGTCAACTACACTAGCACCAAATACCAAATTAACGCGGTGTTTTCCCTATTCATTTGCAGCATTTAATGAACGAATAGTACTGAAGCTCGGGAGAGGTGTCCTTACTGAGGAGAATGCCGCAAAATTCGCTCCTGTGCCCTCCGAGACATGGTCGTGCACGGGTTTTGACCGCTTGCGCTATTCTTTGGCTGACCTTTGGGAGAGATCCTTCTGCCGGGTGCTCCTTCCCGCGCAACTACAACAGGCCCCTCCGGCATAAGTGTGGAACACTGAGAAGAAGACGAGCTTTATCTGTCATGAACAATGGAACTTTGGGACTTCAGCGCATTATTCCAGATTACCAGGCAACATGAATACATGAGAACATGAGAGCTGTGCATTCGATACTAAGAAATAATATCGGTGAAAGAAGTTCATGTGTGCATATGGTCCGAAATCGATTAATAAAAGGATATGGAACATTATTCCCAAAAATTTAGTTAATGTACATATTGCAGAAAGACAGCAGCTGACATTCACGAATTTCAGGAAATGAGGAGAATAAAACCGAGCGGAATTCAACGGAAAATGAAATAAAGTGCAGCAGATGGGATAAAATTAAAATACAAAAAGCATGATGTACAATAACGTTGCAAAAACCCGAGCCATATTCAAGACAAAGCACATTTTCAGTATTCACAGATTCTTCACTGCGAAGCAGCTACCACAGGATTAGAAAAGAAGAAGAATAACGAATGCAATGAAAATTACTTGTAATGGCAACGTGGAAAAATTGTGAGAATACACAGGACTTTTCAAAAGGAATAGCAAACAAGTATGAAGCATTCGCTTCAGGCGTCTAGTAAATCATCAGCTAAATCGGTAAGAGGATCTTCCGTCTCTTCGAGGATCTCAAAACCATCGTCGATAACGTAGTTAGGAGCGCACATATCGTCAAATTCTGAAGATTACCACATAAAGTTACTGAGACCTAAGAATCTTGGGAATTACTAGTTGTAAGTATATTCCACACTTCTCCGTGAAAGTGTTTCATCTTATTTTCCCGAAAGAAATAAACGGTTCAAGTTACGTCAGGGTTTAGAAATGGTGATTTGGATGGGAGTCTACATGCGTGACACATGAACACGTTAACACAGAAGTGATAAATTCAAGCAGTAATGAGCCGTTATCGATTTCCCTTATACAGAATCCCATGCTAAACCACGCCTGTATTTATATAGGGGGGAATAAAGGGCCCGGCCGGACGAGTTTTCACTTGCTGGTGCCAACTCTTTCTCCTTATCACATGAATCTCAATATTCAAAA